CCCTTAAACCACCCTCTTGCTGTTACATAGACATAGGCAAGTGCTCTGTACACTATCACAAACACAAACATAAACACACATTTGTGTTGGGAAAGCCAACACAGTTATCGTGTCTGCCTACATTTCTCCTCCTTCAATGCCCAGGTGTGCACAGCCACCACTGATCCTCACATTCATAGTCACACACACACCAGCTTGAGAAGTGACCCAGGTTGCCAGGGTTAGAGCTACATTCCATGGTGTACCATTCCTCTCAGAGAACTAACAGATCATTGCACAAGATGTCATCACCTGCCGACTAATGTCAAATTACAGCCAGAATAAATGGTCCATTACCTATCCCCATTACAGGTAGCCCCACAGGAGAATGACAGCAGAGACAAAGGAGATTTGTGGCTCAGTGTCACTGCAGGAGACTGGCCAGACAGGTAAGATTGGGATTCATCCCAGTCAAAGGGATTTTCTTTCCACTCTGAACCCTAGGATTGGGAGTGGGGAGATTGAAGGTAATCTGGTTTTTTTGCAAGCATCTCAAACACTAGATACAGATACCTAAGGCTAAAAAGAAAAAGAGAGAGGGAGAGAGAAAGAGAGATAGAGACAGAGAGAGAAGAGAAGACCTTTTTATAAACAGTGCTGGAGATGGAACCCAGGCCTTGTGCATGCCAGCTACAGACCACTGCTCTTTTAACCCGGGTTTGTCCTTGTCCAGAAGATGACTGGGTCACATTAGAATACTTTGTCTTTTAAACAAGGCTCAACTTCCAACTTTTTTCAGAGCAGTGCTATAGTCTCTGGGGCCAGACTCCAGAATTTCAGCCCCATCATGTACTAACTGTATGACTTAACACCTCTAACCCTCAGTTTGGACATTTGTTTAAAATCAAGATAATAATGGCACCTGCCTCGTGGTGGCAGGATGTGATTTAAATGTATGGCACTTAGAAACATGTCTGGCACTAAAGTTGCTCAATAAGTGAACTACACAAATAAGCAACTTCCTGTTTTCCCAGGCCTCCACTCCCTTCCTACTTGCTTGTCCACCCAGGGCTGACCCTGTTTCTGAGACAGGCCTTCCAAAGCCCAGCGAGAACAAGAGTGACCCAGTATCATACAAAAAGATGCATAAGTTTGGGATTGGTTGCTTTGGGGGGGTGACTCAGCCAATAGCCAGTGTTCTTAGCTACTCCATCTCTTCCTCAGGTACAATAAAAGCATGGTGTGAGGAAACCTGAGGAGAAAATACGACTGAAGCCAGGCAAATGGTAAATAATATTAAAAACAATGACTGTGTGGGCACAGTTTAAGTACATCCTGTATAGTATTTATTTCTATTAAACTTCACAGCAGAACTGGTGGAGTGGCTCAAGTGGTAGAGTGCCTGTCTAGAAAGCATGAGGCCTTTGAGTTCAAACCCCAGTATTTAAAAAAAAAAAGATAAACTTCACAGCAAACCTCATCATTTGCATTGTACAGGATAGGAAACTGAGGATCCAACACATAAAATGGCTTGAAGCTGGGGTGGTGAGTCTAGGTGGTCCAACACTAGAGATGGAGTGTTCAACTTCTATGCTATGCTGCTGTCCACATCAAGCAAGGAAAACAGGAGAGGGGAGGGAAGAACAAAGAACAAAGGAGCAATACAAGTTCTTTTTGAAGTAAATTGAAGCAGTCCAGCATTTTGGTTAAGTCCCAACTTCAGATCAAGAGTTAAGAACTATCTTGCTGGCTGAGGATGTAACTCAGTGGTAGAGTGCTTGCCTAGTAGGTGCAAGACCTGGGTTCAATCCCCAGTACCTCTGGAAGGAAAACCTCCAAGATTTAAGTCCTACCTCTGCTACTAGTTGTTCTTTTTTTTTTTAATCTCTTTGGGCCTCTGCTTCCTCATATGTAAAATGGGAATAAAACTACTTCTTATAGCTGCCATAAGACTTACAGGACATAATTCATGTAAAGTGCCCAGGACATGTTTTACCTGGGGGCGGTAAACAGGGGCCACTAATGTGATTGACTCCATTCCCTGCAGGATTTGCCTTGCAATACAGTTCCTCCTGTCTCTTCTCAGGGAAACTCGATCAGGATGGAGAAAACATTTTTAAATTGTCCAGAAAATGAAAAACTGGGCAGAACAACAGTTCTGGACATGCCTTTCCAGTTCCTGGGTGAACTGGGGGGTTGGAGGTGGGCACCAGCCTTATCAGTATCACCTTTTCCTTCCTCCAGGAACAAAGCCAGCAAGTTTTCCCCACCCCCACTCCACTTCTGGTCACTTACAGCCAAAGTCGGAACCATCTTTCTTTGGGCTGAGGGTGTACCTCAGTGGTAGAGTGGTTCCTACCATGCACTAGGTCTGGGCTGGTCTTCAAGGCCCTCCATTACAAAGGCACTTTAGTCTGAAACTGGGCCCTAATCCTCAGATTAGTCCTCTCTCTGCTTTATGAATCTCCCCAGCACAGTGTGCCTTAGACTGGTTTGTATTCTGGTCATTTATACACTTGTCTTGACTTCAGCCCCCTCCTTCCCCACCTTTTCACTAAACTCAGAAGGAAGGAAGGAAGATTTCTTTGTCGTTTTGTCAGTCCTTTTTTTTTTTTCCAGTGCTTGGGGATTGAACTCAGGGCGTTGTGTATAAAGGCAAGCACTGAGCTACAGCCTCAGCCCTTATAAGGCTTGTTTTTGGTTTTGGTTTCTTATTGTTATTTTGGTTTTTATTTTGTTTTGTTTTGTTCAAGAGAGGGTCTCACTATGTAGCTCAGGCTGTCCTTGAACTCTTGATCTTCCTTGCCTCACCCTCCCAAGTGCTGAGACTACAGGTGCGCCATCACCACACCTAGTTTATAAAGTCTATTATGGAAATGTTCACATATATTTCATATATGTTGCATATAATTTAATATCATAAGCATCCATGTTCCTGTCACCCAGCTTCACAATTAGCAACATGTGGGATGATATGACAGCTATACTTTCACTTCTTCTGCCTTCTTACTTTGGATAACTTCTTGTTTGTTTTGTTCTTTGAGATAGGCTCTCACTATGTAGCCCAGGCAACTCCCTGCTTCAGTGCTGGGATTACAGGTGTGCACCACCATGCCAAGATCTTACTTTAGATAACTTTAAAGCAAATCCCAGACAGCCTATCATTTCGTCCATAAATACTCCAATATAGATGTTTCCTTCATTTCTGTGTCCACTACAATTGGAAGATGACTTGCATCTGTGTTCTCTACTATTGGGAACACAACAGATTATTTCTGAGCATCTACAATGTGCCAGACCTTATGCTTGACCTTGGAGGCTCCCTGCTGAGCTTGGGAGGCACAACATAACCAAACTGCAATATTCCACACCGAGAATTTCTATGGTTCCAGGGAGTGCGTGAGGGGTGGGAGGTTGGAAGGCATGAGCAGGACCTTTGGCTGCACTATGTGAATTGGGCAGAATCTGCTTTCTCAGTTGATGGTGACCCTGAGTTCGAACTTGCCGCGCGACACGGAGTTTCCAGCAGGAGGCGCTGCGAAAGCGCAGCGGGATGGGGGCGGCGCGCAGATCGCTGTGTTCAGCTGCTGCGGGAACCTGGGCAGGCGGCCAGCGCCGGCTGCGGGTTAAAACCGCAAGCAACCACGCCATTTAATAGGCTAGCGGGACGCCGAGTGTAAGGACTCTAGAAGGACCCCGAGGATTCAGGTGCCGTGCAGGAGTGCGGGGGCTCCGGGCGTGTCCGGCACCTGCTCCCCGGTCCTCTCCACGCTGCCAGTTGTCCCGAGTGCCGCCGGTTCCCGCCCCAACTGCCGCTCTTCCTGACAGAATATCTTGGAACAGGGCACAGGACAGAGCGAGGAAACACCTGTTTCCAACAAGAAAAGCGGTGGGGGAAGCCCCCACCAGCCTTCCAATGGCCTCTCATCGAGACCGCTCTCCAGAGCCTTGTAAAAGTGCGCCCAGAAAGCCAGCGGAGATCATTTCTCAAAAAGATCGCTTTCTGTTTCCTACTCTCCTCCTCCTCCTCCTAACCTGCGACGTCCCTTTAAAAATGTCTTCTTCACCCCTCCACCCCCGCGGAGGGAAGGGATTGGGGGGGGGGTTCCAGCTCCTCGCGGACCCTCTGACCGTCTTGGTTTCTGCAGGGACCGCCACCACCTCTAATCCTAAATTTGCAACTGCATTAGCGTCCATATTTTTCACTTCCTCAGCCCCCTGCAGACCTGCAGGTGGGAGGTGGAACTGGGGGGACAGCGGAACAAAGGACCCAGAGAGCCCTTGTCCCGGGTCAGACGCCCTTTCTGCCTCTTCTGCAACCTCCCAGCAGCCAGCCAGGGGGAACAGAGGGGCTCAGGAGCGCGTGAAAGCCCACCAGCCCCGGTCCCACCGCACTTTCCAAGGGGGAGCAACCCGACGATGCGTGGGAGCTGGGGACGGCCGCAGCGCTGCAGACCGACGGACAGACCCCCACGGAACAGGCCTGAGTGGCCGTGGGCGCCAACAGTCTCCACGCACTGGGCTCCGTTATTTCATCAGCAGTTTCAGAAAAACCTGCCAAAAGCAGTTATGCCTCACTGCAATGTGTAGCTTTTTCCTGCCATTTTTTTTCATAATAAAAGAGAGAGTGAAGCTTGCTCGCTCTCTCCCCCTCACCCCCCCCCTCTCCTAAAAAGAGCCAAATGGATACGAGAAAGAAAAAAAAAAAAAGAACCCACACACCAATCTCTGAGGGGATGCCAGTGAGGTGTGGCTTGTATTTAAATATCCAATATGTCAATGTAAGGGGAGTGGGTATGTATATAAAGTGCCGTTTGCATTTGATAGCTCCACGAAGCCAGTTATGAGAGGCTGGGAGCGATGGATGCCGAGGGGAAGCGGCACTTTGACTGAGAGCAAGGTCAGGAGCGCGCTGCCCCACGCTCCCCGCCGCTGAGAAGTTCCTTGGACGCCACCACACGTCTAGTGCAGCTGGGCAGAGCGCGGAGCGACCCAGCGAGCGAGCGCCGCCGACTCGCCAGCGCCCGCGCCCGCGCCCGCCGCGGGGAGAGGCAGTTCGCGCCCCGCGGCCCCGGCTCGGCCCGCGCGCGCCCCGCACAGCCCGCGCCGCCGTCGACCCCGCCATGGCGGAGGTTGGGGGGGTCTTCGCCTCCTTGGACTGGGATCTGCATGGCTTCTCCTCGTCTCTAGGGAACGTGCCCTTAGCTGACTCCCCGGGTTTCCTGAACGAGCGCCTGGGCCAGATTGAGGGAAAGCTGCAGCGCGGCTCGCCCACAGACTTCGCCCACCTCAAGGGGATCCTGCGGCGCCGCCAGCTCTACTGTCGCACCGGCTTCCACCTGGAGATCTTCCCCAACGGCACGGTGCATGGCACCCGCCTCGACCACAGCCGCTTCGGTGAGGACGCGGCGGGGAGGAACGGGGCGGCGGGCGGGCGGGCGGCGAGCGGGGGCGCGGAGGACTCTGGGCTCCCGGCGTGGGGCCCTCGACTGTCCCCCCCCACCCCCGGCCCCCGGCTGGGCGCAGTCGGGGCCCGTCGAAGCGGGACGTGACGGCGAGGACCGGAGCCGCGCGGCGTCCAGGGGCCCCGCACCCTCGGACGCTCTCGGGAGGGGGCGGAGGCGTCTTGCGGGGCGGCCTCTTCTTGCCCCCCCCTCCACCCTCCCTTCTCCGGGAGCGAGGGGCTCATTCTGGGACTTGGACCTGAGCCTTCGACGGGAGCAGGTGGAGCTGGGAAAGGAGTGGGGGCTTTCGCTTAGGAGGCCTGGGGCCGCGGCGGCAGCGCGGGCCGAGCCTCGAGGGTGGCAGGCCTGCGGAGGCTGATCGCCTGGAGCAGGAGCCTGCCTGGGCCAGGGGCGTGGTGGGCGCGCGGCCCGCGATCGAATCACTTTTGACTGGCGGAGATGCGGCATCCGTGGCACGGGTCGGCCTCAGGGTTGCTGGCCCAAGGTAGGAGCCAATCCAGGCAGCAAGGCATGAGCTGGATTTCAGGGAATCTAGGAAAACCTCGCGGTGTGCATGGTGTAAGGGCACAAGTTCTGCGGCTGCTTTTTCTGGGTCCTTGCCTTGGTAAGGAAACAGTCCTGAGCCCACTCCCAGCCCCAGAAACAGGTGTCCCCTGGGCCCAGGATGGAATTATGGCTAACCTCTATCCAGGATTGTCTCTGCCTGCCTGCCACTCTACAGATTGTTCAGACGACACTGCTTCCTGTCTCACCTCCAGATATAACTATACAGTCAATATAAGTCTTGATCTGGGACAAAGGTCATTAGGTTTCTAAGCAAATGGGTCCCATCCTCAGTTATTTGCCGCTTTTATTTTCAATTCCCTATTCTCTGCTAAGCCATCAAGCAGGTGCTGTGACAGCTACCCTTCCTCCTCCCCCATCCCCAATGCCCTCCGCTTCCTCCCAAGGTCCCTATAATCCAAGAGCACCTTCTACTCTTAAACCTCAGGAATGACAAGGTTACTTTTTCCCACACCCACAAACCTCCGGGCCCTCCTAGTCTCCGTGCCTTGCTAGAGCTGCATCTGGTGGGCACAGTAAAAGTGGGGTGTAGGGGCCAGTTTCTCGGTAAGACCAAGCCTAGCAAACAACTTACGGCCAGGGTTGGTCTTCCTTGCTGGGAGCAGGCAGGAACCCTAATGAGGTCTATGTCATCTTGGAAAAATGCACTCAAACAGAGCTAGAGTACAGTAGGTTGGGAGGGGTAATGGAGGGGTGCAGGTGTCTGTATAAACTTGCAGCAGGTCCTCAAAAGGGTGATAAGGTGGGGTGGGAGGAGAGGGAGTGTTAACTTGGCTCCTTTCCCTTCCATCATTTGTGATTTTGCAGTCCCCTTTTGTTCCTCTTCATGAAGGAATGGGACTCCCACCCTGGCCTCAGAGAAGTGGACTAAAGACACTGGAATAGTTCGTATATAAAAGAAGTGTGTGTGTGTGTGTGTGTGTGTGCAAAAGAAAAGCCATGACACGATGGAGAAATGTGATGTGGGTGGGGGCGATGCAAGTGGAGAACTCTGAGCATAACTCCCAGCCGCTACAAGTGTTTGTCTGACTCTGTGCCTGAGTTGAGCCCAATAATCTACAAGGTCAACATAAATCAGTAATAGGCTCTTGGCATAAGTGGCCTTTAATTACCTCCCTAAAGACACATCTTGATTTCTTTTCATCTCCCAGGCCTGCTAAGGGTGTTAAGTTTAAGGAGAAACCAAAGGAAATAAAACTGGCAGAGGAAGGGATGTTTTTGCTGCTGCTTAACTGATTGCTTCATTTTTGGTTTTGCCCTTAGAAAAAAACAAACTGCCTGAGACCACCTCTGCCTCACCTTTTCCCTTTCCTCCTTCCCTGACTTCCTGGCAGTTGCATGTATTTCCTGTAAAGGAAATGATAACTGGTTGAAACTGTCTCTTTGTAACCTCCCCTGCCAGCTTTCAAACACACACTTACTCTTTCTCAGTTTAGCTCTTGGCACAGAAAGAGGTGGCGTTTGAGTTTGCTAACGCTCTTCTCCCTCCACATTCAAGTTAATCAGCCAGGGTATTCAATAAATCGAAACTTTAACATTCCATAAGTGCTTTAGCAGTCAACATTCCAGCAGGGTAAAGTAGGCCAGACTTAAGATATAAAATATTATAGATTTCTGCTTGGGGGGAGGAGGTAGTCTCCAAAGGCCATGTAAAGTAAATAGCTATTTGTTGTAATTGGAGAGCAGGGCCCCCAAGGATTACCCTGGAATCCATGTGTTCAAAAACGAGTCAGGCTGAGCCCAAGTGCAGCCCCGACTCCAAATAATAACCTGTTGGCACAGCCTAGCTCCCTGTTCTCTATGTGCAATCAGTAGCCAGGAGTATTTCAATCCCTGCCTGGCTGGTGGCGTTTACATGAGGTTCACAGGGATCCTGACATTCCTGAGGGCACCTGTGGACTGGCAGAGCAGGGCTTGGAAGCCAGACTGGAGGAGAGGCCTCCTGCCAGGTGGGATGGCGCAGGCTCCCACAGCTGCTTTGGGTTTTGAGCGATCTGGTTCTTATTTGGCTACATGCCAAGGCAGCACTGTCTTGGCCCTGAAGGTCTAAAAGGATGGCTGAGGGAGCTCAGGCAAGTCGTGGAACCAGATTAAATGACACATTAGCCAGTCATCTAGCTAGGTTCTGAAGCAGTGGGGCCCAGGACAGATCAGTTTTGATTGAGGCCCTGGGGAGAGAGATGTAAGAAGAGAAGAGTCTGGAAATTGTCAAGAAAAGGCCAGAGCCCTAGGTGGACAGGTCAAGATGAAGCAGAGTAGAGGAAGGTCCTGAGCCTGGAAGGGGTGAGAGAACTGAGGACAAACTTTGTCTACTTAATACTTTGCCTAAACACTTTGCTGTTAACACCCCTGTCCAGCTGTAGCTGGGAAAATATGAAAATGGCTTGTTTTCTCTTCTCTTTCATGCTGGCTGGAATTCAGGAGAAGGTTTAGAAATATCTGTTCCATCATCATGTGCCACTGGGTTCCCACAGTCTGAATCCAGCTAATAGGAAAGTTGGCAAAGGGAAAATGATGCCCAAAGACAGCTGGGCAGGGATGATTCCAGCTGTTGGAGACCCCTGTTACTGGATGCAACCCAAGTAACTTCCTGTATGATCTGTCCTTTGGCATCAGGGTTAACAAGAGTTGGAGAAAAACTGTGGTGACTCAAATGGCCACACCTCGTGGGTTTCATGATTTGTTCTCACACCAGGTCTTGGGCGGTGAGATCACAAGTAGTCCTCTGCTACTTCATGAGCTCAGGATAGTCAGAGACATGAGATACTTACAGAAAGAAGGGCTGTGTCTGTTAGAGATTAGCACCCAGAACTGAATCGTGACCTGGTTTCTAATTTCCTTGCCATACTGGCTACTCTACTTTGAGCATGCTCCTGCTTTTCCGTATTCTTCTCTAAACACAATAGCTCTGAGCACATCGCTCCTAGCGTCTAGCCAATGGAGAGCTGAGTACAGGGGCAATCTCCTCTCTTATACTAGTCTCTAAACCTCTCTTAGTGCAGCCTTAGGTCACACTAGCTTTTCCCCCATTTTTTCTTTTTTGCCTTAGCTTTTACATGATTAGTAATTCCAAAAAAATTTTAGTACATTTTGAGATAGGATCTCACTATGTAACCCAGGCTGGCCTTGAATTTAGGATCTCCCTGCCTCAGCCTTCTAAGAACTGGGATTATAAGTGCTTGCCACCATGCCTGGCATTTTTTTTTTTTTGGTGGTACTGGGGTTTGAACTGAGGGCTTCACAGTTGCAAAGCAGGTGCTCTACTGCTTGAACCATGCCTCCAGCCCATTTTGCTCTGGTTATTTTTTTGGAGATGGGATCTCCTAAGCTACTTGTCTGGGCTGGCCTCAAACTCTGATCCTCCCAATCTCAGTCTCCCAAGTAGTTAGGATTATAGGAATGAGTCACCAGCACCCAGCACTCCTGGCAATTTTAAATTTTTATGTAACCAGTTTTGCATTAGCTTTTAAATAACCTTGCTAATCACCCATCATTATACCAAACTTATTTTGTTAAATCAAATCCTTGAAATCATTATTCGTATATGTTGTTCTGGGCCACATTTCCCCATTACAGATACAATATTAAAATACACATAGCATGCTCAAAGCACAGGGTTCAGAACCCTGCATCAAAAGAAATTGCACAGAAATGCAAAATAACAGCATACATTTTCAAGAAAATATACATGGGCTGTGGTACAACACTTGCCTAACTGTGCAAGGCCCCAGGTTCAATCCCCAGCATCACAAAAAAGAAAGAAACAGAGTTGCCTGAAATGGAGGAGGTGAATTTGGGTATGGAGATTTAAAAAAGATAACTGAAAAGCCCCTGCACAGACCAGTTATGACACTGGGCCATGAGCTGAGGAGTAAGGTTAACTCAACTGCCTGTACTTGAGGTTCACCCTCACCCAAAAAACCCCGAACAGAAACATCTGGGCAAATTGGTTTGGAGGATCATAGTGCAGGACTTTATGTTGGTTCTAATTCAGCTGTGTTGGAGCTTGCCCACTTTTCCATTCTCTTGAACTCTCTTTGGACCAGCTGTATGTCTTCTGGAACTAAGATAAGCAGTCCTCCTATGTCCTTTTACGACTTATTTATCAAAATGCTAATAAACAGGGCAGAATTATGTACAGTGCAACTGAAGATTTGGGTCCATTAAATCAGTGTTTGATTAACTCCTGCTTAGCAATAGCTGTTTTCACTTCCCTTCTACCATCGTGTGTCAATCTAAGACTCCTTTCTTTATACTGTAAGAATAACAACCAGACTGAGAATAACACTCAGAGGGTTTCAGTGTGAGAAGCGAAAGGCCAGACTCTATCTGTCCTATAGACTGGCAATAGAAGAACCTTATGTCCTCTGAATAGATCTGGGTGAACCATGGAAACACGTACCCCCAAAGCCACCATGCCTGAATACCCACCTACCCCAGCCAAGTCACTAGAGCTCCATAGAAGACTTTCCACTGGAGTTCTGAACCTGATTTCAAAATTAATCACTTATAAATTTTGATCTTAGCATTTGGAAGCTGGAGGGAGGAGGTTTCGTAGGTTAAAGGCCAGCCTAGGCAGCATAGCCAGACCCTGTCTCAGAAAAAAAAAAACTTTTAGCTTTATGGAATCAGCTAAACCTTCTATATAGATTATTTAGACTATTATTATCCTTAATAATTGTGATTTTTGAATGAAAGTCAGCTGAGTATGAGCTCATTTCATATCTTTGGATGCCTCACACAATTGTATCAGTTTTTTTGTCTATATGTTAAAAAACAGGAATATGGAAGAGGAATCCAGAGGACTATTACATCTGAATCTAGATAATAGATTTACCATCATAAGGACAAAATTATGAAGCCCTCACTATCACCAGGATTTCGCTTCTGGGTCTTTTGACCCTCATTTTGGTTATTTTTTTTTCTTCTCATGAGGTAAATGAAAACATTTAAAAATCTTCACCTCTAACCTTGTCAGCTAAAAGGACATTTCTGAATTTCTTCCCTTTCCCCTTAAAGTTGCAACATCTCAAATCAGTATGGAGTCCAGTACTACCTGCCAGCTCTTTGCCATGGGTAAACTTAAAATTCTCAAGAGAGAAGGGAAGAATGACAGGCTTGTCAGCTTGGGGCTGTACTAGCCGAGAATACTTTTTAGGAGAAAGCTCTCCTGAAGCCAAGTTTCACCTCTTGTCATGAGCAGAGTGAACAAACTTAGTGAGTGGCTTGTGTGGCATTTGTTAGAGTCAACTATGGGCAGTTGACAGCCTCATGTGGCTTTAAGGGCATGGCAGCTGAGAGGATACAAAATAAGTTCAGCCTAGAGACAGCAAGGTAATGCTATGTACGCTGGGGAGGAGCCTGGTGACTTTGGGAAAGATCCAGAAAACTGGCCTAATTCTTGCACGGAGAAAGCTGCCTTCCCACTTCTTCAAATGGGTGGTATTTGACAACAATAACAACTTATGATTATGAAGTTTTAATAACCAAAGCCTTCTCATGGTCTTTTCGTCATAACGTGCCTCAGAGGGCTGGGCATGTAGCTCAGCTGTAGAGTGCTTGCCTACCATGCTCAAGGCCACAGTTCTGATCCCTAGCAATTAAATAAATAAAGAAAATGGCAGTGTTACACAAAGGCAGAGATTATTTCCCCATTTATGCAGGGAAAAACTGAGGCCCAGAGAGGCTGAGCACTTTCTCTGAGGTCTCATTCTTGCTGCAAATGATGGTTTCAGCTGGGTGCCAGTGACTCACACCTGTAATCCTAGCTACTCAGGAGGCAGAGATCAGGAGGATTGTGGTTCAAGGCCAGCCAAAGCAAAGAGTTTGTGAAAACAACCAATACAAAAAAGGGCTGCTGTAGTGACTCAAAAGCTAGAGTGCTGCTTGCCTAGCAAGTGTGAGGCCCTGAGTACAAACCCCAGTACCACCAAAAAAAAAAAAAAAAGCCTTTCATCAGGTAATTCACCAATGATTGGTAGCCCATGTCACCTGACCAGCTTTCTCCTCACTTGGTGTTAGTAACAGAATGGCACTCACTTTTTTGCTGTAGGAATTCTGGAATTTATCAGCCTGGCTGTGGGGCTGATCAGCATCCGGGGAGTGGACTCTGGCCTGTACCTAGGAATGAATGAGCGAGGAGAACTATATGGATCGGTGAGTTTCAGGTTTTCTATTTCTCAGAGGCTGTTTGCCACCAGTTTTTGAACAATGTAAGGCAAAAGGATAAAAATGTTTACCTAGCACTTGAAAGCACTTTTGTCAACTGTAAAGGATTAGTGTCTTCTTGTTACTTCTTGGCTGCTCAGGGCCTCACACCGTAATATCTTCCCTCATTCAGCTGCCCCCCCCATCAAAACATAAGATTTTCTGTGACACATTTGCCTTCACCTTTTCTATTAGAGGGCCAGCTAGTCCGATGATAACAGGAAGCTGTGCTGGTTTGTCAGTAGATGGTCAGGGTTTGAGGCATTAACACTCCCAAGGAGCACTGACAGTTTTAGTGGTTGTCTAGAGGAATGGCTGACTAGCAAGAGCAAAAAAAAAACGGGCAGTGAAAGAGCTAGTCTTCAAATCGAGGATTCTGAGGTTAGCAACACAGTCCCTGATTTCCACATTGCCTCAGCTGAATCCCAAAGGCCAAATGAAATAAACAAATAAAGAATGAGGACTCCAGGGTCTGATGACAGCGCTAAGCCCCTAGCTAGGACTGGGCTGACTGAGATACATTTTCTCTATTCTGGAAGCTAGCCCAGCTCTGGGGAGTGGTGAGTGACTTTGCTGACCTTAACCCTTTCAGGGGATCCCAACTCCTGGCTCGGACTTTTGAGTCACATAGCATGCTTTCTGGCTGCCTACACCCCATGGAATCAGAACACATTTTTCCCTGACAACTAAGAGATAGGCCTGTCCCCAGCACTCAGTATCGGCAACCCCAGCAAGTAGTATGGCGGCTCGATCAAGTGTGAGAAGGGACAGAGGCAAGAGACGCAGGAGCTGCCAGCTTGAAGTAGCCAGATTGGAGGAGCATTTCAAGGAGATCTTTTCTGAGCTTCCAACTGACAGGCCTGAGACCCTTCATTAGGAGAGATCACAGCTCACCTCCCCTGGAGCTTTATATAGACCCAAGACCTTTGCCTGTCCGTTGATGAGGTTGACTGTAATCTCAATGGATTTGAACATTATGAGCCCTAAGTAGGGAGAAAGCTCAGCGGGTGCCAGCAGAGCACTAGAAGGCCATAACAGAAATTCTTAAGCTCAAAAATCCAGCCTTCAAAAACGGTCTCACGGCTGGTGGAGTGGCTCAAGTGGTAGGAGCACCTGCCTAGCAAGTGTTAGGCCCTGAGTTCAAGCCCCAGAACCGCAAAATAAATAAAAATAAATAAACTTGCTTTAAAAACGATCTCACCCAAAACCTCTTTGTGTGACTCATGAAAGAGGATGAAGGAGATAGAGTCAGGTGTGTTTTGTGCTATTTGGAAGAAGGATACCTTGGTAACATGGGGAGATAGGGCTGAAATTTTCTAATTTCAATGTGCTATTGCTGTTTCAGGGTCTCTCCACCAGCAAGCTGGGTTGGGAGAAATAGTCATATAATGGGCTCTCCTTTATTTTCTCACCCTCACAGAAGAAACTCACACGTGAATGTGTTTTCCGGGAACAGTTTGAAGAAAACTGGTACAACACCTATGCCTCCACCTTGTACAAACACTCGGACTCGGAGAGACAGTATTATGTGGCCCTGAATAAGGACGGCTCACCCCGGGAGGGATACAGGACTAAACGACACCAGAAATTCACTCACTTTTTACCCAGGCCAGTAGATCCTTCTAAGTTACCCTCCATGTCCAGAGACCTTTTCCGCTATAGGTAATGGACCTCTGGCGTGACCTCTGTGACCCATGTACTCTGGGGCCACAGTTGTCTCTGCAAGCACTATACTCATAGCTTTTCAGTCCTTCCTTCCTATCAATTTAGATAACAGAGAAGCACTTACTGTTCAACTTGACCCAGCTGTTCCCTTGTTGTTCAAAGTGTATATCAAGGTTGGGTTATTTTGGGGAGGGATAGGGGAGGAGGGGATGGGCCTGAGGGAATCTTGTATATACTTTTTTCTTTATTCACATTCTTCCCCCTGAGGTGGCATGACAAAGAATTGGGGGGCCCTGCCAAGGGCCAGGAGTGTCTTGCCCCACAATCTACCCAAATACCTTGAGAATGGGTATAAAGGAAAGACCAAGGAATCTGCCATAGATGCTACCTACAGAGCTTTGGAAAAGTCTCATTAAGAGAATCCTCGGGGCTCCAGTCCCGCTGCAAGCCATCCCTCCTCTGGCTCTGCAGATTTCTCATTCGTCCTGACATGCGGTTTTCCTGCCATTGAAAGTGGGAGATGGGGTAGGTTGTAAGAAACTGATATTAAAATGTAAGCATGGATACTGTGCATAAGGACAAACTATTTATGAAATGTATATGCTATTTATTTTATATATTTATTTATTTCAAAATAATTTTATTTTTAATGAGAGATGCTATGACTGGATTTTCATCAGAAAGAATAAGGTCCTACTGAAACAGGATAAAATGAGTTATTAAGGCTTTTATCGGCAATAAAATTGTCTTTATATTGTAAACCACTGTCTAATTCTATTGATTTGTCCATTTAGTAGGGTGAAAAGGTTGGCCAACTTCTTTCCCTCCAACTCATCAGAATTTCCTAATGTTGGTGTCACACAGCCTATGCTAGATGACTCAAACATCCAGTGTGTCACCCTATTGAGGGCCTTGTAGTCCTTTCAGGTCCCATGGCGTTAAACTTAGTGGAGAATGGAAACTTCAGCAGGGCCTGGACCAATGGCAGCTCTTACTGAAGTTCTCACTTGTGTTTAGGATTGGGCATTGAGAAGCCTGCCTTTGGGAAATGGTTAGCCCAGAGCCCTAAGGTCAGGAAACACTAATTAGTGGCTTCTTACTTCAGAAAAGAAGGTAAAATGATTCAAAATTAAAAACAATCAATGGGGCTGACAGAGTGGCTCAAGCCGTAAGATCGCCTGCCTAGCCTAGTGTGAGGCCCTGAGCTCAAACCCCAGTGCCGCTAAAAAAATTAATTAAGTTTACCAAAATAAGTTAAAAAACAATCTAAAGGGAAACTGATTCTTTGAGCAGTCAGTTTCCCTTCTGGAGGATGTTCTATACCCCTCTATCAGTTCCCCATCATCCCTTGCCAGTGCTTCTCCTAGGGAATTCTGGGAAGTCAACACATTTCCTTAACACAGCAGTGCTCAGACTGTATTGTCTCTTGACCAGCAGCATTACCTGGAAGCTGGTTAGAGATGAAAATTACCAGGGGCTCTGGGGACAGGGACATGGGTCTATGTGTTAATAAGCCTTCTAGGGAATTCCTGAGCACAAGAAAGTTTGAGAACTAATGCCTTAAAATTTTTTTGTACTTACTTTTTAGTAACCAAATGGTTTATAAATAAAATCTCAGTGTAACTTTGTCCACAGAGCCAATGGAGAGCAGCGCTAGTTAGTAGAAGGGGAAATGGCGTATCTTGGATCTCTCCCTTTCCCATCATAGTCTCTAAGGTGTCTTGGTTTGGCCTGTTTTCCAGAGGTAAGAGTATAGAATTATTTGCATTTTCATAGTGGACATTATCAGGAAATAAGAATCAAAGGGATAACAGTCTCATTGAGACTAAGACACTGTAAAGACCTGGTGGGAAAAGGTTTTAGATCTGGGACAGTTTTTCCTAGTACTCTTCAATCCCATCATGTAGGCATTCACTGTTTTTTCAACTAATTGTATAAGTAAATAAAATAGCTTATGTGGGCTGAGCACGGTGGTTCATGCCTATAATCGTAGCTACTTGTGAGACAGAGATCAGGAGGATCATGGTTCAAAGTCAGCCAGGCAAAAGGTTCATGAGACCTCATCTCATCCAATAAAAGCTAGATGTGGTGATCCACACCTGTCATCCCAGCTATATGGGAAGCTTACATAGGAGGATTGAGGTCCAGGCCAGCTCGGGCATAAAGTAACACCCTATCTCAAAAATAAACAAAGCAAAAAAAGGACTGGCAGAGTGGCTCAAGTGCTGGAGTGCCTGTCTAGTAAGCACAAGGCCCTGAGTTAACCTCCCAGTGCCACCAAAAGTAAAAATCAAGTAAAATATTATATACCAGCTCACTCAGAAAGTAAAACCAGGTGACTAGCAAGCAGGAGGCCCTGAGTCCAATCCCTAGTACTGGAAAAAAAAAACAAAAGCAAAACCAGGGGCAGGGGAGGTAGCTAAGGGGTAGGGTACTTGCCTAGCATGCACAAGACCCTGGGTTCAATCCACAGCCCCGCCACCACAACTACAAAAGCAAAAACAGAATGTTTATAAAAGCTCACCCAACTCTTTAAGTACCCAACAGGGAAGCCACACATAGGAAAATACATACCTGAAATAGCAAATAAGACTGTATAATGATAAAAAGTGCTGAAATGTATGGCTTGTGCGATCATTGAATAGAATGACTATCAGTGGAATCCCTAAGGGGGTGACCTCAGTGGGCTAGGGTGACTAGGGTGAGTCTCCTGACAGGGTTAGTAATTTAGCCTGCTTTGAAGAACCAACAGGATTTGGAAAAGTACATAGGCTAATGTTCCTGTTGGGCTATGGGGAAGAGATACTAGATCTAGAATTCTCTGGGAGATGTCTAAAAACCAGCTAAATTCATGATCCTCCTGCCTCAACCTCCTGAGTGCTGGGATTACAGGTGTATACCACCACACCTGGCTGATCACATTGCTAATGAAAATTAAACCTTGATCTTTTTATTAGCATATATTAACTGTTAAAAGTAAGGGGTTTCATTATTACGTTTCCATAAGTGCATATAATATACTTTGATCATATTGACTCCCTTTATTCCTCTTTCTTATCTCCTCATCCTCCCCTAGATATATTTTTTTGTGGTCCTTAAGATAAACCCAGGGCCTTATGCATACTAGCACTATGTTTCCCAGGCTAGCCTCAAACTCCTGGGCTCAAGCATGTCTCCTACCTCTGCCTCCTGAGTGCTGGGACTACAGGTGCGTGTCACCATACCCAGCTTCTCATCTTGATTTGAAAAACCAAACTTTTACCTATTTTATCAGTGTTCAGCTACCTAGAACTACCAACTACAACTTCTGGGAACTTGTGAGATCTGCTGTAGAGAATAGGAAACTGGCACTTACCTGTGAGCGGGACCAGTGTACTCAAGCAGGGTAATTGACATAGTTGCTATGGGCTTGGCAAGACCACAGTTACTTTACTTCAGAGCAAGATTTGTAAGAAAAATGCCACTGTAATGAGAAAGGGAAAGACCCCAAACCCTAGGTCAGTCCTTTTTCCATCTGGGTGGAAGTTGAGGGGAAAAGACTAGAAGAAAGGTGTGAGGTTCCAGGGTGCAGGAGGAGCTCACTCTCGGTGTTGAACTTTGAGGGATAGCATGAATGGGACATGTGGCCAGAAAATGGCAATGGCAACAGTTCTCATTTTCAAAGAAGAAAAGATAAATTCTGGAAATGTAAAATGGATGAGCTGGTACCACTAGATCAATTGATAGCTGATTGATACCATATCCCCAACTGCTAAAAGTAATGGATTTTGTGCCATCCTAAATGGAATTATATAGTGGTAGGCTCTGAAGCTCTAGTTTTGGATGAAAACATGAACAGAGACCATTCCTTCATGCTTAGGACATTTCTAGAACAGAACAAGCACTTGGGAAATGTTTGTTGAATAAACGAATGGATGGTTGAAAGAATGAATAAATGAAGGAATGGTCAAAAACATAGATGCCTTTGGCACATGTATAGCTTTATATAGCACATATTTATATATAGCATATATGTTACAAATGCTCGGTTATAAAGAGCAATGTATTATATAAGAGTCATCTAAACTACTGGGTGAAGTTCTACATATACTTAAATAGGCAAAACGACAAACCCAAGCATGTCCCAGGAAAGATAACAAGTTCCCTTTCAATGGAAGTGTTTAGCAGAGGCTAGCAAGTACATGACAAGGATATTACGTCATTTAGAGCAGACAAGGTGGAATAGTAGAGAAAGATGGTAGGACGTAGTATGAGTTTACTAACTATATATTCTTTGGGATTCCCCAGAATTCTCCTGAGTATATGGTTTGTTCTTTCATTGGTCCTCAATGGGTCTCTCAAAGCTAGACACAGTCACCAGAAGAGTTTACAGCCAGGCATCTGGCATAAGAAGGAATGGCTACTATGATCCTATGTGAAAACCTTGCCAATCTTTAGATGTGGTTGTTTTGTTTTGTTTTGTTTCAAAAAATGTAGGTAAGTGTAGACTTTTGACTCCTATTCTATGAAAGATAGCTTCGAGTTTGGTAACAAGGACTGAATGGGGAGAAGAAGGAGCTGGGGTGGCTGTACTGCTCAGTGGTCCTGAACAAAGCCCAACCCCAGGCCAGCCCTGACAGAAGTCCTAACATGAGACTCTCCTTCCCCACCCCCACCTCCCTTTTCATCCCTATTGCCACTGCCAAATATTGCTGTCTTGGTCTGCTTTCTGTTGCTATAATTGAATACCACAGCCTAGTTTATAGTTTAAAAAAAATAAAGGTTTATTGAGCTCACAGTTCTGAAGGCTGGGAAGTTCAAGCCCAGGCAGCTGCATCCTGAGGTCCTTTTTGCTGATGGGTACTCTGCAGAGTCCCAAACTGGTGCAGAGCATTGCATGGCAAGACAGGACATCCTAGCTCTCCTCCTATAAAGCCACAGTCCCATTGGACTAGGGCTCACCTCTATGGGTCTCATTAACTATAACCACCTCCCAAACATCTACCCCCAGCACCACGGTTTCCACCATATTGTTTGTTTTGAGACAGAATTCTACATGTAGCTCAAACGACAAGAGCA